AACTAAGTTATGAGGATTCCATGAAGTACTAAGGAAAATAGTTTCCTAACTCATTCCTATGATATTAAAGTGTTTTCTGCAGAGTTGTAAGAGGTTAAGATAATCTTTTAATGATTCATATATCTTGATTAAGTCAAGTGGAGTAAAGCAGAATACTCTTAATAGGAGGTCACCTATGTGAGTGTGAAGTCAGGCCGCTTCAATAAGAATTATTCAAGGCTTGAATTCTTTGAACATTCGTAAAATCAAGAAGGGTTCAAGACCAAAATGAAACAAGTCATGAGAACCATGAACGGTTTAGGGAAGACATTGTGTGAGTATCGTTGTCTTGGCTTACACTAAAGGCTGAATGGTTCAAGACATCATGTTTACCAATTAGCTGAGTAAATCCGATGGTATTTCACTACGGGAGGTTCAAGGCCAGAAGCTACTATCCCCAATGCAGTGACTTTCTGCTCTCTCTCTACTTGCATCACATCATAGCATTACATTTGTATACTCGAATTTTCATTTATGTGGGGGATTGTTGGAATTGGTTCAAAAATTAACCAAAAATTGGTCAAGTCTAAAATTGGGAAAATGAAAATGTGTGACTTCGTGTCTACTTCGTTCGAATGTTCGGACTTGATCCGATAGTCAAATTACAAAAGTAAATAGACCAACTTATTCTACTTGTGGAGTAGATCGTCGTGATATATTTGAAATCTCAAAACCAATTTCGGATGAAGGAGAAATTACGGTCCAAAGTTGGAAGAATGAAGTGTTGCAACTTTTCGAAAGGATGCGGGTTTGAAAGAAAGTGTTGCAACTTTTCGAAATGAAGTACTGCAACTTTCCATGAAAAATACTGGATTTGGGGTGTGTCCCTTCAACCACAACCCTTCATCTTCTATATATAGGACCCCTTGGATGTGTATTTGTCATTCCAATTCATTCCATAATTCCATATTATTTATTTCATGTTAAGTTACATAAAACACTTTGTAGAAAGTGGTTATCTTTTGCATCAAAATCATTGTTATGATAGAGAAGGAATTCCGTTCGAGTTCGTTGGTCGAAGCCATTTGGAGTACTCCTATAACTCGACGTGGTCGTTGTATCTTGGGAGATGATTGTCGAAAAACCGTTAGCACCGATGCGGGGCAAATTCATCTTAAAGACCAAGTGTCAAACACTTGCATCAACCAAAAGTTCATCACTGCATCTTTCTTCCTTCATTTTCTGATTTCTCTTAATTATGATTTGATTTCAGAAATTGATTAACATTATTTACATATTTGTTTTGCGAGGTTTGATTTTAAAAAATAACTTGCTTTCGTTCAAGAATCGAAAAAGATCAATCCATATTCATGCATTTGGATCCTGTAGCTATTATTATTTTGCTTCTCAAATTCTATTTTGATAAGTCGAAATTATGTTTCGATTTCACGCAAATAAACGGTATATTTTTATGAATATAATATGAACATAATCGGTATATTCCTTAACAATGATTAGATAAAAAAAAAATTATGTACATGTAGCATTGTCCCGAGCATATTCTTATTTTTACTATTTATCTTATAAATAACTTAAACTTTGAAAGTTGGACACTCTAAGTCAATCAAAATTGTTCCAGAACTAGCCTTTAAACCTTAACAGAAAATGTTACTTTTTCGTCCTCCACAGTATTTGCTTGTCAACGATCGTATCTAGATACCTTTAGGATCCCCCCCCCCCTCGCCCCCTTTTTTTTTATGATGGTGGAACTCACGGCCACTACCCTTTAAAATTTGCCATAACCTTTTTAGTGTCTTAGGTCACAATATGATAGGAAAAATCATATTTTTTCTTCAATTATTCTTTTTTTTCCTTCTCTTTCTCCATTTATACTAATCAGAATTCACTTCCTTATTCGGATATTGTTGTCTCCAAAATCGGGAACAAAAAAAAGGGAGAAAAAATAAAATAATTATTGCACACCTTTAAAATCCCAATAGGTCGAATACATTTATTCATTTACATCAATCATGTTATAAGTACAGAAAAATTTGACAGACAACACACGACAGAAATTGATTGAAAGATAGAAAGAGAAAAAAAGAAAACAATTCATTCATCTGCGACCAAATCAACGTCGATAGAAATTCTGTTAAGAATTCCTTGTATTCATGGCTTTTTTCCTATTTGCATACATTGTGATTGCAATTTCTTTATTTATATAATTAAATACAATTTAATGCCATTTCCTATAATCTTCTGTAAATCCTTATCCAAACTTAAAGGAATCCAGTCGTAATCATCCTTGATTTACCATGTGATTATATAAAGTTAAACTCCATTAATTAGCTTTAATTATACAATTTTACATTCATACGTTGTGTTCAATTAATCTCATCTGTTTGTTCAATGTACGTATGCCGCTTGAACTTGATATTTTTCATTAGATACTGTTAAGGATGACAAAATGTCCCGTCATATGTCATGCTGTCCTGTCTTAAATAGTGTAAAAATATCATTATTGGAGAATTGGGGTAAGGACCCAATTGAATGAGAAATATGAATAGTTTAATTTCAAAGGTTGAACCAACTTTAAGGTTCCCTATCGTTCTATCCCTGAAGTATCATGAGAGATGTTAATTATAGAATGTATCCCAACAGGTCAGGGAATAAGAGCTGCATGTACATTAGTGCTTACAAAGAATTTCAATTCATGTTTCAGGAATTCAACCCTCATACTGCTGCTGCTAGCAAGATTGAGTATACCACACCCTTGTCTTTTGCCTTCCTATCATCCCTACCTAGAAAGTTAGTTTCAATCAATTATAAAACCATTCTTAAAGCTTATTTTTGGAGAGATTTTTTAAAAATAATTTTTTTTCACATAATCATTTTCAAAAACATATTTTATGGAACTCATAAATTTTCATATTTTTTAACTAAGCATTCTTCAAAAAAATTATTTTTCACTGGAAAACTCTGGTTTGATATATTAATTAATTGTAATTACCAAGTGTAAACTACCAAAAATTGCCACTATTAAATATCCTTATACATTTGCATTTTTATTTTTTATTTTTTTTGCATTACCCTTTCTGAATAATGTTATGTAACTCAACGTTTATTAAACATTTTTAAGGATACATTAAGTGACTGGACATCTTAAAATTAGAGATATGAGTCTCAGTTAAGATGTACAATCCCTCAAGGTTTGTATTCAATCTACACTTTTAAGGATTTTTATAAAGTAAAAAAGTTCGCGTGAAATCTAGAATTTTTAAACTCTATAAAAGTCTTAAAAAGTCAAGTAGATTTTTAGATTTTTTAATGCCTTGTATAAATTATACTAACTTTTAAATAGAAACTACAAATACAAAATCTTGAAATTTATTTCTCATTGATCCCAAGATTTTGAATGATTTTCACCCAAAAAAGAACAAACGAAAATATCCGTCACTTTTCACTTTTATTCTACAAATCCCATAGTCGTAATATAAGATTTTCGTTAAAAAAAAATCAAATATTCATAACTTTTATTACTATTACTATTCCCATTTCCTTTTTTTTTTTTCTATCTTCTTTTTCTTCATTTTCTCCTTTTATATATTACAAAAATCTTATAATATTTCTCTCTCTTATTTTCCATTTTTCCTACTATTTTTCTTTGAAAAGGAATTAATTTTTAATTAGAATTCTGTAAGATTTTATAAGAAAAGTATATTTGTCGCCCCTTTAATTTAAGATGCACAACCACTTATTGACACTTATAGGTGTTTATACCCCGACTGGGCTACATATCATTCTCCTTTCCTTTTGGATTGGCCTATAGCTACACGAAAACTAAGGCCTTGTTTCGAAATTATGATTTCATTAGAAGCTATTTTTAATTAAAGTGCTTATTGATAATTGAAAATCATTTCTACACTTTATCTTTTTCAAAATTCTTTTTGTCTAAATCACATCATAATTAGTTCGAAAGCATGGAAAAAAAGAATTTAAAATCCTTTTGCGGATTCATCTATATCACTACTTATATGTTTGTATAGACCATAATGAAATTTTAAATCATTATTTGCATATCTCATTCAACATTTCCCAATTTTTGTAAGCAAGATAAGATTAAGCCCATGTTTGGTTTTCATTCTTTTCTCATTAAAATAAATAATATGATCATTATCTATCACATTAAATTACCAAATTTGAATTTCTATTTTTTGTGTTATGCTCGTAACGACTATATTTTTCATTCTCATTCTTCAAAAAAAGAGAAACAAACAAAGGTTAAGAATATTTTTCCAACCTAAAAAGAGGAAGAAATTATGAATAAGATCGAGTGTAATTTGGATTTTACAACTTCAATTATGCATAGGGATGACTGCTCAACTCGTGGTCAGCTCCAACTCGTTATTTGATGAGCCCAAGCATGAGCCGAGCAGGGGTGAGATCCAACGAGCCGAGCCTTGCTCAATTCGTTGAGCTCGCCAACTGCTCGTGGGCCATGTCCATGAGCCAAAAGTTCACCAGCCCACAAGTAAGCTTGTAAAAAATGTGACGAAAAAAAAAACACTCGTGGGTTCGGCTCAACCTGGCTTGGCTCATTACCACCTCTATGTATTTAATACATAGTGTCGACATTCGATTGAATATAAAGAGTTATGAAAGAAAAATTGGGAACTAAAATTTATGTTCCAACACAGTAACTTTTTATTATTTGAATTTACAGTAAATTAGGAAAAAATAAATTTTTACTTAAAAATTGAATTATAAGTGATTATATCAAATAGTTTATAATATTATTTTATTATGATCTAATAAACCGACCATGGCCAGATTATCTACGATTACGAAGACATCTAGAAAAGATAGGAATAAGCTTTCTGCACAGGGCTGTAAACACTGAACGAGAAATTGTCACGTGGATTCTAGTTTGTATAAATCGTGGATATAATAAAAAGATAACAATTAAGTTATTTGTACAAAAATGGTTACACTTTTGTTAAAGTGACGTGCATTTCGATAAGATCAGTCCGTGACTGAATACATCTGCCCCACGCCCCTCTATCCCACTCCTATACATACATACATCTGTATGTATCTACGTCCTCAAACATCAGATTTATATTTATAGTGTATTATATACTATTTAACTACAGTTTTGCACAGATTGTGGGACTGGCTGAGCAACCTAGCCTCTGTGCATGCTCTGCTTTACCCTTCTTGTCTGAATAAATTCAATAAAAGTGAAATCCCATCTTTCTGTTCCCAGATCTGTATATTTTGTCCCTTCAAAATTACCCTCAAAAAATGGAACTGCATTATCCATTTTTTCTCCAAGAATTATTCAGGAAAAATTATTTTACTTAGGAATTGATTTCTGTTCCTTTTCATTTTTTTGTGTTGATTTTGTTCTGCGTTTCTGATAAAAATAATGAAAGTGACCCAGAATAATTCGGAGAAAATTTTCTGGGATCCGATTAGAATTCCATCCGGGGCACCCATTACCATGTCGGGCTCGCAGGGTAAATCTTTGCCCAAGCTTATGGTGTGGCTGATTTTGTTCGTTTCAGCCACGTATGTAGTGTACACATTAAAGCTCCTTTCCTCTTCTCCGAGTTGCGATGAAGATATTTTCCTCAGTCGCCACAATAGCATTCCCCTTCAGAAAAACGACACGGCTTCGATAACATCGTCGAAGATATCCCCTCTTCAATTGGGCGAAGAAAACGAGGAAAAAACGGGTTTGAAACACATGGTTTTTGGCATTGCAGCATCGGCCAAGCTGTGGCAAAAGCGAAAGGAGTACATAAAGTTATGGTGGAAGCCTGAAAGGAAAATGAGGGGTATTGTTTGGCTCGATAGCCATGTAAAAACTTACAGAAATGAATCAGGGAGCCTCCCACAATTGAGAATATCAGGGAACACATCGAGATTCTCTTACAAGAACAAGCAGGGACACCGGTCCGCGATTCGGATCTCTCGTATAGTATCGGAGACTCTGAGGTTGGGGATGGAGAATATAAGATGGTTTGTAATGGGAGATGATGATACAGTGTTTGTAACAGACAATTTGGTGAGGATTTTGAACAAATATGATCACAATCAGTATTATTACATTGGGAGTTCGAGTGAAAGTCATTTGCAGAACATTTATTTTTCTTATGGAATGGCTTATGGGGGTGGGGGTTTTGCTATAAGCTACCCTTTGGCTAAAGCTCTTGAGAAAATGCAAGATAGGTGCATTCAGAGGTACCCTGGATTATATGGTTCTGATGATAGAATGCAGGCTTGTATGGCTGAACTCGGTGTCCCACTCAGTAAAGAACTCGGTTTTCACCAGGTGTGTTATGTTCTTGATTTCCTTTTTGCCATTTTACTGTTTTATGTTCTATTCTTAAGGTTCTTGGGTTTCTTTGCCGACAATGAGTTTGTTTGATATTACTAGATATTTATGCTTATAATTTTAAGAAAAAATGCAGCTTGTGCCTGCAAATGTGAGTCTGTTCATTTCCATTCAATCAGTCATTACTCGTCTCGGTGTAATGAAAACGGTTAGTTAAGATAGCTGTGGTGTTAAAGATGGTGTAATGAATGTTGATTAGGACTAGCTATTGTGCTTAAAATTTTGTTTGGCAATTTGAATTCTTTAGTTTGATTAAAGCATCATAGTTTGACCAGTGCTTTGTGAAAAAACAATTAGTAGTGGAACGTAGTAGGTTTTGTGGTTAATGATTGAGTTTATGGTTGATTTGGTAAGCTTCATTATAGTTAGTAGCGAAAGGTTGTCACTAATTCTATTGTTGACTCTTCTTGTATGGCTATTCAGTACGACGTGTATGGGAACCTGTTTGGTCTTTTAGCAGCACACCCTGTCACACCACTGGTGTCTTTGCACCACCTTGATGTGGTGGAGCCAATCTTTCCCAATGTTACTCGAGTCCAAGCTCTTCAGCATTTGAAAATTCCGATCAGTCTTGATTCAGCCGGTTTGATGCAACAATCCATTTGCTATGACAAAATGAATGGTTGGACAGTTTCCGTTTCTTGGGGGTTTGCTGTTCAAATATTTCGTGGGGTGCTATCGCCTCGAGAGATGGAGATGCCATCGAGGACTTTCTTGAATTGGTACAAAAGAGGAGATTACAAAGCATATGCATTCAACACAAGGCCAGTTATGAGAAACCCATGTCAAAAGCCATTCGTGTTTTACATGTCGAAAGCAAGAATGAATTATGGTACAAATATAACAGTGAGCGAATACACTCGCCATATAGTTCCTCATCCTAAATGCGGATGGAACATGGCTAACCCGGCTGAAGTTGATAAAGTGGAGGTTCTCAAGAAACCCGACCCGTTGCTTTGGAATAGAGTATGCGTATTCTCATATCTCATAATTGACTCTGTCTACTATCAACTTCTGTGTTGGATGGAAATGCATGTTAAAGACTACTATTGCACCTTATATAAATAAAATTCTTGCAATTAGAATTGAAAGTCGAGAGTTACTTTTAATTTGACAGCTTATCACTTTTAATTCATTGGAGCAGATTAATTTTGAAAATCAAATTTACTTGATCTTTATTATGACCCTGGTGTTGTATTTTTTTGGGCAGTCTCCAAGGAGAAATTGTTGCCGAGTCTTGGAATCAAAGAAAAAAAGCATGGTTATAGATGTGGGCGAATGTAGGGAAGGTGAAATTAGCGAAGTATTAACAACGAAGACCTAAATGTAAGCTCATTCATTTTCACGACCNAATTTTTTACCCAAAAAAATTAATTTTTTTATCTTTATTTCACTATGTCAGCCATCATTTTTTATTTCTTCATTCACAGGTGGGATTTACTTTTCTCTCTAACGATTAAAAAATCAATTCTCATAATTACTACCGAACATGCCCTAGCCTATACTTGTTTTAGATAAAACAAAAAAAAATTGTATTTTTAGTAGATATTGATGAAGCTCCTGTTTTACAATTGTTATTGGGGAAAACATAATTTTGAATAGTGATTTATTAGAATGTGTGGTTAAAAATTATGAAAAATCATATTATGGTGACATAATCATTAATATAATGGTTGACGTAATATCACATGACACTCTATTATTAGACTATTTTAAACAGGGGCGGACCCACTAAGGGACGAGTGGGTTCATCTGTGCCCCCATTGAATATTCAGAAATCTTCAATTGAACCTTGTTAAATTTAAATTTCAGATTTTTTTCGTTTCTTTCACAATTTATTTTAGCTCATTTTCTGTCTCGCCTCCACTGAACTATAATTTTGGGTACGTCCTCGGTTTTAAACACAATCAAATTTTTTATTTTTTTATTTTTTTATCTATTCACGTCTTGCTAACTGACATTATGTCACTCCACCTTTCAATCACTTTCTATCAAAGTGGTATAATCCAAGTAGGAAAAGTTTTTAATTTACGTGCATAATATTTTATTGTGTAAATGTGTGATTAAAAATAAGTATATAGAAAAAAAAGTTTGAAAATAATGATTGTCAAACATGGGCAAAACTTGATAAAATATGTGGTTGAAAAATTGTATGTTCCATAAAATATATTGTCAAAATTGATTGTTAAACTTGATTAAATTTTAATTCGATTTTATAGCTGAATCAAACAAGGGCTTAGTTTGTATGGCCGATGTTTGGTATAGATTAAAATTAAATTTTTATTTTTGATAAAAGTTAGTTAAATGTATGGTTGAAAAGTTGTGAATCTTATAAACTGTGTAATTAAAATTAATTGTTGACTTTGATTTGAGATTAGAATCTAACATCTATCAAACAGGGACTTAATTTAGTTAAAACTTAAATTTTTATAAAATTTGATGAAAAGTGTAATTGAAAAGTTGACGAAAATTATGGGTTTCAAGAGATAAGTGGTTAAAAATGAATTTGAAAAAAAAAATTAAAAAAAAGAAGAAGAAGAGCCAAACAGGGGCTTAGGGAGTTATTAATTTGGTAGGTCACCAATCCTTTGACTATTAGCAGTGTGCAATGTAGCCCATCCTATGGTTAAATATCACAATCACTAAGAACTTTCTCAATGTTTTCTAATAGTAATGGAACTTCAAAGGTTTTTCGAGTTTCCATTTAACTTTTCCAAATATTTTTCGTCATCATTAAACCCTAAAAGATTTTCGAGTTGGCATTGAACTTACAAAAATATTACCTCATTTGTCATTTCATCACGTTAATGGACTTGATAACATGATGTATGTAAAAACATATAAATAACATTTTAGTAAGTTCATTGCGTCCATTAACTTTTAAAATGGCAAGTGGCAAAAGGTATTACAACATACCAACAATTACAAATTAGAAGGAGCAATCATAGCCAACAATTACAAGAAGCAATTACAAGAAGCAATCACAGCAGCAATCACAAGGAGCAATCAAAGCACACGTCCTATAAATCAATGTTTTCCATTTACAGATTATTTCTTTCACAGATTGTATTTACCATGTAAAGCTTAAATTTTCACCTATAAAAGACTACACAAATCATTGTAAAACATATAAAGAAAATATTATAGTTTTTACCTTCTTTCTTCATCTCTGTATCAAATTTATCATGGTATCAAAGCGGTTCTTTCACTGTGATGTCTCCTAGACCTTTCTGACTTCCATAAACATCAAAACAACAATCACCCTGCTGCCATGATGTCTGATTCTACCCCCTCAAAATTAATCAACGACCTCACGTCCCCGTACTTTCTGACCCCTGCCAACAAGCTTGATGCCGTATTGGTATCGGACTTCTTACTGGAGAAATCTATGCCGTCTGGAAACACTCAATGCGTATGGCACTCAATGCCAAAAATAAACTTGCATGTGTTGATGGTACTCTAAAGAAACCATTGGACGCCGAAGTTGCCATTCTTTGGAACCGATGCAGTGATATGGATCTCTCATGGCTCTTGAACTCCATTGACAAACCCTTTCGACAAAGCTTAATTTACTGTACCCAACCTTCTGATGTTTGGATTGACTTGGACAATCATTTTTCTCAAAGCAACCACCCCCATCTTTATCGCCTTCATCATGACCTGTTGAAGCTCAAGCAAGGCACCAGGTCCGTCACCACATACTACTTTACAATCAAAGGGCTTTGGGATGAACTCACTGCCTTAACCGTTGAATGATTGTTCCAATTTCTCATGGGCCTCAATGATTCCTTCTCCAATATCCGAAGTCAAATCCTAGTTATGGAGCCTCTTTCCACAATCTCCAAAGCATATGCCACCATACACCAAGAAAAAACTGAACGCCTCTTACAAATTCTCTTACTACCCAATCCTGAAACCTCTACCATGGCAGTCACACGCACACATCCTCAAATCACTCATGGATCTCAACCTCGTAGTGGTAAAAAATGCACCAAATGTGGAAAGGACGGTCATTTAGAGTCTTCTTACTTTGAGATTATTGGTTACCCGGCTCATTGGAACACCAAGAAGCCGAAGCAACCAATACGATCAGCTCCTATGAAAATTCGGCCACATGATTTGGGTAATAACCGGCCACCCACAGCAAACATGGTATCTAATACCTCAATTCCTTCAACGTCGAGTGCAATCCCTAGTCTAACTGATGAGCAATATCGACAATTGATGGGACTTTTGCAGCCCAGCACCAATGTAGCCTCTACCTTCTCTGGTATATCCCACCCAAATTCCTCAATCGCCCTAACTCCTTGGATAATTGATAGTGGGGCTTCAGCCCACATTTCCTCCCTTTCTAATTTGCCCAAAGCCACACAAATTTGGGCCCATAATCAATCGCTTACATTATCTACAGGGTCCATGGCCCAAGTCACGCATATGGGTCACATTTATATTTCTCCTCAACTATGTCTTTATAATGTGCTTTTCGTCCCTGATTTTCATTACAACGTAATTTCTGTTAGTCAACTCACCAAATCTCCTAATTGTATTATCATATTTTCCCCCTCTATTTGTTTATTCAGGACCAACACACGAGGAAGCTGATTGGGATGGGTGAAGAACGTGGAGGCCTCTACCAATTTTAACCATTTAATCAAGCTGCCCTTCACATCACAGCAAACCCTATATCCATACTAGACTGGCATCTTCATTTAGGTCATCCTTCGAATTCTTGCATTCCAAAAATTCTATGTGATTCAAATAAAACTAGAAATTGTGATAGTTGTATTCGAGGCAAACATACACGCCTCCCCTTCAAATTGGTCGAAAATAAAAGTTCTTTTATCTTTAACTGAATTTATTGTGACATTTGGGGTTGATATTCCACACCCTCTACAACTAATGCACACGACTTTCTTACAATTGTCGATGATTTTTCACGTGTTACTTAGGTATACCTCATGCGTTTTAAATCCAATGCATTTACTTGTTTGACCACATTTATTAACATGATCCACACACAGTTCAGTCAGATAATGGTCAAGAATTTTTTTCCCATCGTATGCAACAATTTTTCCTCGACCATGGTATCATTCATGAATGTACTTGTATTGAAACACCCTAGCAAAATGGTGTAGCTGAACGAAAGCATTGTCACCTGTTAAATGTGGCTCGATGTCTTCGCTTTCATGCACATTTACTTATTTTCTTTTGGGTCCAATGCATACTTACTGCTACTTATTTAATTAACCGCATACCAACCCCTTCTCTTATGGTAAAACTCCTTATGACCTTCTTTTCAATAAGCCTCCTACCTATAATCATCTTCGTGTCTTTGATGTCTTTACTATGCACACACTTTAAGTGTTCATTGAGACAAGCTCTCTCCTCTTAGCACACCATGCGTATTCCTAGGCTACTCTCAAACTCCACACACTTATCATGTTTATGACTTGCAAACCAAGAAGATATTCTTATCTCATGATATCCGATTTGTAGAATCTATTTTTCCATTTGCTACAACCATGCAACCTTCGGACGTCTTGTTACCTCGCACCTTGCCAGACACCACATAGTCTCACGATATAAATCATACACATGACACCCATGCTATACCTCCCCAAGCACCATCCCCGCCAGATACTGAACCAACTATTCCAATACCATCGAATGATGATGAACCTACCAGCTCCTCAGAACTCGTTACCGTTACATCCCCATCACCTAGACCTCGACGCACAATCACTCGCCCCACATATTTTCAGGATTACATTTGCTCAGATCCACCTCCAGAGGGACCACGTTCATCATCTCATTCCTAGTCTTTCTCAAGTACGGTTCACTCTTTACCTAATTTTCTGTCTTATCGCTTCTTTAGTCCAAAACATTTTGCTTTCCTCTCTTCTGTCTCCAAAAATGTTCAAGACCATGTCCTTTACTCTCAAGCTATCCTCGAGCCTCACTGACAACAGGCTATGGCTTCTGAGATTCAGGCCCTCGAAGCGAATCACACATGGACCCTTGTGTATCTCACTCCGGGTAAGAAAGCTATTGATTGCAAATGAGTTTATAAAACAAAATTGCGTTTAGATGGTTCCATCGAACGTTATAAAGCTCGTTTAATTGCCAAGGGTTTCACTTAGGTAGAAGGTCTTGATTATAATGACACATTTGCTCCTGTGGCTAAACTTGTTACTGTTCGTTGTCTTCTTGCTATAGCAGCAGTGAAACATTGGGTTATTCACCAATTAGATGTTCATAATACTTTCTTCCATAGTGATCTCGATGAGGAATTATACATGCGGCCACCACTAGGATATTGTCGTAAGGGGGAGACACAAGTATGCCG